GATGGTTGGTGGCAGATGAGTAGGAGCATGCAAAAGTCTCACCTGTACTCCATCTCTGTCCTGTAACAAATACAGTCTGAGCTTACACTTAACAATGCAGAAATGACCTCTATTGAATTTGTCATGCTGATGATCAGAATGCTCAGAATTAAAATGTCTTAAGATACACCTTACAGCGTAGTCACAAAAAAAACCAAAAGGGAAGCTTGAACATATATGTCCTTAATTAAGACTTTCCACATGAACAGATATTTTAGAATAAAAAACAAACCATATTTTAATTTTCTAATTCATGTTTAGTTGTTTAGGGGAAAACATTATGTTTTTAAGGGGCTACAGGCACTGATATGAATTAGAAAAAAAATCTTAATAATTAAATTCTTCATTTCAAATGAAAGTTAAAAATACCATACTTAAGAATTCTAAGGCCCCAATTCTTTAAACAGGTCCATGGACTTTAGTGTCCACTTATAGTAAGGAGTGGTTATGCAGATGTGTTGTAAACAATAAAGGTTTCTGACAGAGTACAGGACCATGCTATCCAAATCAATATGGAAGCAGTTGCAAAAAAATCAATACCTTGATTTTCTGGTAAGTTTTCCCAACAACTTTATAAATTACTATCTTAGGCAATGTATATTTTCAATAACAGTATTGTACATGAAGATACTGCCTTGAAGGCTTTCCAATATGAAATAAAATTAACAATATGTCTCTTAGAACAATGAGGAGCAAAGTAACAATACAAGAAAAATACTGTAATATGTAGGTGCTAGAGTGATAGCACACTAATGGCTGCAAAGGAATTAATTAGAAGTTAGGTAATTAGCAGGATGAATTCATTATCAGGTTTGCACAAGGCAGCAGAAAAATCTTAAATGTTCTACTTGCATGGCTTGTATCTTCCATGTGGAGTCTAACAATAGTCACCAAAATAGCTTATGGTGAGTGTTAAATGGTGACTCCATGTCAAAACTTTAAATGGGACACAGAAATCTTCCTTAGATATTCTCTTTAGATGTTCATATATTGATTGACTGAGGCATTTTCAAAAGTGTCCCTGCTTTGCTGTGTCAGCCAGAGGTTCAATGAAAAGCTAAGCTTAAAAAAGTCTTGGCAGAAAGTGTCTTATTAACTCCTCACTAGCTTACTAAGTGAGGTTCTTAAAGTGATGCTCTTATCCAACAAAAAACCTGGATTATTTTGTGCATAAATCTACTTTCATGGAAACAAAAATGGTCTTGTATTTTTTTTTGTTTGTTTGTTTTTTTTGTTTTTAAAGTAAGCCTGAATGCATCTTAAGTTAGGTAAAGAAGGGAAATCTGCAGTTGTCTCTACTCTCCCTGGTTTGGTTTGTGTTATGTAGTAGTCTTTGCCTGTGAGAACTGGATTCCTTTGGGATGAACCTAAACTGGAAGAAAAAAAAAAAAAAAGGAAAAAAAAATGTAAAAAAAAAATCTGTCCCCCCAAAAGCACAAAGCAAAATGAGTGTCCCTGAGTACTCACTGATGTTCCCTTCAGAAATTACTTTTCTGGACTTTGTTGTTTGCTGATATGGTAAGAGCTACTGATGACTGCAAGGATTTACTGCACATGAGAACTCTGTGGTCAGCTTCTTTTCATGCCAAAACTAACACCAAAGCAGAAATTTAGCCTGAACTGGAGTTTCTGTCTTGATCTGGCGTGGTTATGGTATTTGGCAGCTGTGGCAAAGGAAGGGTTGCCTGAAGGCATGTGTGTGAAACTAGCATTAAACTTTCTATTTCCTTACCTTCAGGTCTGTGAAAGTGTCTGTAAAATACTTGATAGTTCTACAATGACTTTTAAAAAGTATTTGTTCACCTGCCATACTTTGTTCCATTTACATTTCCTTCAACTGAGAAATGTAATTTTAAGTGCTGTCCTAGAGAAGAAGGATTGCTCTTGGTGAAGGAAATTGTATCAGTCAACAGCAATTTTCTCACAGATAAAATTTTCTAAACCAATCTTACACAAATTTTCTTTCATTGCAAGAAAAATATCTGATGGAGAAAAGTATTCTCTGAGACAACATAATTATCCTATGGCAAAATGGTATGTACATGATTTATGCAATGATTGCACATAGCACAGTTTTGTTTTTACTTTAATGAATGGAGACGTAAAATGTCATACTTATGAAAGAATATTTAAAAACACTCTTGGTATCAGCTCAGTATTAGTTTGCTCAACTCAATATATATAGGCCATGTTTTCCCTTAAGCATGTCAGTCACCATCAGAAACAAAACCAGGAAGATTGCCATGGACACATTTCAAGAGCAGATGATTTAAAACTCAAAAAAGAAAAGTCAACAAAACAAATCCACATTTCCCACTTGTTTTAAAAATGTCTCTTCAAAGTATAATTTTATAAATGTAACTTTGGAGGAGAAAACAAATTTCTCTCAGAGAGATGGTCCAATTTGTGAGTGACTGGAATGATTGATGCTCAAATCATTTCATGTGTGTGCGTGAGGGGAAGGAGCAGGTTGGATCTTGCTCTGGTGAGGAGATGCTCTGCTGCATACACGCCCTCCCCACCCCAAAGCCTGTATCCCAGCCTGGCAGTGGCTGTCCATCCCTGGCACAGCACAGCAATGCTCCACAGCCACCTCTGGAACCCCTAACCCAGCTCCTGGGTGGCCAAATGACCAGAAATCCCACCTGGGGGAAGGGTCCAAGAAAGCAGAACATGGGGCAGGCACATGTCTTTACCCTACCTCCTCTTGGAATTTCTATTAGCTGGACACTGCTGGAAACCAGGACTGGTATTTATGTTTCTTCTTTTGTATCTATCTTCTGTCTTTCCCTAATTTCCTCTTGGAATTTTTGAGTAACTAAAATTGAACTGACTTAGAGTGTGCAGAGTTGAATGGGTTAAATTAAATGCTTTAAGAAGTATTTCATGTTGTTTGAATGTTGCTTTAAACCTTTGGACAAAGTTTTCTGATTTCTGGGGTTGCCAGAAAAGTTTTTTGACCTCCTGAGAATATCTTCTTGGTATTTCTCTGTGTATCTAATTCAGAGTACATGAACAACTGTAGTGCCCTTTTAAAAATCTCATTGAGTGAGTTTTTTGGGACCTTTCCACAAATATGGAGGAAGTTAAAACCGTACCTGCTTAAATATATTGTGGTTTATTTTTTTGTTTTAAGAACATTAACTAAAGTGAGAATAGAAATTGTATCTCTGTGTAGTCAGGCACACTCTCACCCATGCTTATTCTCATGCTAGGACTTGTTGCTCCATTCTCCTTAGGATTATCTTCTAGGAATGAATGATTGTGTAGCTCTAGGATTGAAATTACTATGAGCCACCTGATAACACCTTCCTGAGACTTTTTTACAAAGCAATATTTTAGTATGGGTTCATGGAACATCAAACTTCAGACAAAGAATAAAAAAGTTGACAAATAAGGTGCTATTTTCTGGAATTACAGATGGAAACAAATTCTTCCCCACTGTGGTGAAGAATTGCTGTCTTCCCTGGGGAGACAATTATTGTCTTTTTGTTTTGTTTTGTTTAAAATAGAAATACAGGAATTTTCTTTTGCAGCAATTAGTGGTGATGCATGGAGTGAGCTGCTAAGTACTCATGACTTATCTGGATAGACAGGGCTGTCCCCTGCAAATCACAATGAATATTGGGCTGTCCATAAAGAGCAAGGAGCGATATCAAAGAGAACATTCAGCTATTACCAGGGCAAACTCCTGGCCATGAGCTTCTGCAGATGATAATATGAAAAGACTGAGATGAAATTAAAAGCAGTGTTAAGTACCCAGGAGGCAGAAAAACGTGCAGTTGTTTCTTTGCATTACTTGTGTATTGTACTTGTGTATTGAGATGATATTTTTCAGTAGTATTATATGCATTTTTTTGAATGTAGAAAATGCTGTGGAATTATTTTTATATGGTAGCAAATGAATGGAGCAACTGGCTCCAGCCACACAGAGAACAATTACTACATTGAGTATATATGGTTTTTCTTAAAGCTGTATAGTCAATGACTTTTTTGTGTAAAGATATCTTACTTTTGCTGAGGTGTAACCAGTGGTTATGTCCTCCAGGGGAAGTGCTGCAGCGTGCAGACTTTTTCTTTCTGGTAAGTCAGTAGAACCTCTCTTGCCCTTACCAAGAAATTCCCATGTAAAGGAGGGTGAGTGCCACTGATGTGAGGTTTCTGTTTCACACAAATTCCTCTGATACTGTGGAAGCTGTTGAGAGCTTGCTCCTTCCTTATTGATGTTATTGTGCTACGGGGAGCATTAGAGAAAACTTCCTGACCTCTGCACAGATCCTCAGGGATCCATTTTGGTTTAGGAAATTAATTGCCATTTTCTCTCTGAGGGGAGCTCTTTGCAGGTACAGTTTCTTGAAGTATATCTGCACTGAAGCCCTGCTGTGACTGTTGCTCCTTCAGAAGGGCTTAGCTTGCCTTAAAAAAGCAGGGTTTTTTTGTTTTTTTTTTTACCCAGTACAAAAAGCAAACAGCCTGATCCTGGGCAGCAGGGTGTTGCAGCCTTGCTAAGGTTTTTTTATTCACTGATACTCTACTAGCAGAACCTGAGCTGGCTTGGAGTAGCTGCTTTAGGGATGTCTATAGTACCATGACTGCTGTGTAGGTGTGTCTCAAGGAGTAGCCCGTCACATGTAGGCGGTGATAAATTTGGAGGAAGAGCTGCTGCTGGGTAAAGGTTAAAAGGATGTAATGGTTTACTAGATCACAGAATCATAGAATGGTTTGAATTGGAATGGACCTTAAAGATCATCTTGTTCCAAGCACCTGCCATGGGCACCAACCAGCCTGAACACTTCCAGAGATGGGGCATCCAAAACTTCTCTGGGAAACCTGTTCCTGTGCCTTGCTATGCTAATTTTTTTCCTAATATCCAATCTAAACTCACTCTCTTTAAATTCAAAGCTACTCGCCCACAACCTGTCTGTTCTCTTGTAAAAAGTCCCTCTTCATCTTTCTTACAGGTTCCCTTCAGGTGCTGGATGGTCACAATTAGGTCACCTTCTCTATTCCTTCTGAACAAGACTGAATAAACCCAGTTCTTCCAATGGCATCCTCTGGACTTGCTCCAACATCCTCCCTGTGCTGGGACCCCAGAGCTGATGCAGTGCTCCAGGTGGGTCTCACCAGAGCAGAGGGGCAGAATCCCCTCCCTCCCCTGCTGCCCATAGGGCTCTGGATGAGCCCAAGACATGTTTGGCTCTCTGGGCTGTGAGGGCCATGGCTAGGGCATGCCAATCTCTCACCCCCAGCAACCCAAGTCCTTCTGTGCAGGGCTGCTCTCCATCTGCTCATCCCCAGCCTGGATTGATACCTGGGGTTGAATGTTTGTCTCTGTTAAATAAACACTCTCCTAAACCTCAAGCCACAAAATTGAAGAGCTTACTATTAGTCCTTAGAAACTCTTGCCATATTGGGGTCAGGTAGAGAGAGAACTGAAATCTGTAGGTGGTGTGGTATAGTGTGGGGCAAAAGAAGGACAAAATAAGGATGTGACATGAGTGAAAGACTAAGACTGATTAAAACATCATATCTTATTGCTTCTGAGTCTTACTTTCTCTCATTTAAATGCCTTTATAAACTTACTTGTTTCAAAAACATATTTTCATATTTTTGTGCACAAGGAAAATGTAATATTTCCCAGTTGCTTTTGTATGTACTTAGCTCTGCCAAAAGCTCAGGAGAGTGGGGACATTTTCATATTATTTTCTTTCAAAGTACAGTTGAAATTTCACCTCTTCCTTCATATTTTTATGTAAAATAATTGCTAACTTTCAGGAACTTAAATCCTTGAAATATTATATGATTTTATTAGTTTTAAATCTTCAAGCTCTTCCCCGAGTTACAAAAATGTAGAAGTCATTATTTTTAACAATGTAGCATTTCCTTATGTAAGTACTGAATATTACTGTAAGTACTACTGTGAGGAAGTCCCTCAAGTTCCTAAAATAGCTCAGATTTGGCTCTGTTATTGTTGAGAGTATAAGAAAAATGCTGTGGACAGAATACTGGTGGAGTTTTCAAGTGCTTGTGATGAATGAGTTGATTCAGCTCAAGTCCTGTTGGACTGCACATCACAAATGCCACCATCCTCTATACACCTTCAACAAAAAGATGATTCTGCTAGGAGATGGTTTCCTTGCTCCTACATTTAGGTAAAACTGTGCTCCCCTCCTCTTGTGTGGCCTTTTTTGTTAGCTTACCTGTATTAGGCCCGCTAACCTTGGGCAAGATTATTTTTTTATGCTTCATCTTTTTTATTTTTTTTCTATGAAAGGATTAAAATAAATGTCCTCAAAGTCCAGGCCTCTATTAAGGTTGGGAGGAACTGGTTTGCTAAAGGTGGTGGTATTGAGGGGATAACAACGAGGGTGAGAAGAGGTAAGGATACGGGCTACTACTAATCTAAAAGTCTGTTCCTTTTATACTGAATTTTTACAAAAAATAAAGGTTAAAATTAGGTCTGTGGGCTGCTTATGGATATTCAGATAAGCAAGGGCTCAGGATCTTGTCCGCAAAACCAGAACACCGTGGCTATGTTTTCTAACTCAAGAAATATTTCCCTTCTGCAAAGCTGTAAGTTCATGCAACTGACTTGTGAATGCTTAAATAGTAATGTAAACAGACAACCCACTTTTTGGCCACGTTTTTGGAGAACAGTTGTTCTGTTAAATGAAGTTTATTAAAAGTGAGTGGTTTGCCAGAAATTGTCTTCTTCTGGCAATCAAGAGCCATGAGCACAGAAAGCCAGCAGCACTTCTGTAACTCCTTTGACCCTCACCAGTTACTAAACCAGTGTAACTTCTTCAGGCTGTCTTATCCTTTCAATTTGATTTAAGCCTGTAATGTCATTGACATATGTCTACAGATCATGCTATTTGAAAGAAAGCTATTTCAGGAAAAAAGATGTTTTGTTGTGGTTAAGAGCCTATGTTCATATTTCAGAGGACAGTTTGTTCATCTCTAGTCTTGTGGCCTTAACTCTTGCACTTGACTGGAACCTTAATGATATCCTTGGTTTTGTCCTCAGATACAAGAAGTCTGCAGAAGCCAGAAATTCTTACTATGAACAGCTCCAAAGCCTTGATTTTTTTTTTTTTTCATTTTATTTATTCAGAAAATGATGAAGAACACCTGCATCACAAACCAGACTTCTATGTGTGTCTACTGGGGGCCAAAATAAAAAGCCAGTACCAGAAAGTGCTTAAGAGAAGAAGGTATCTGTGTATTGCTTCTGATTTTGGCCTCCCTTGTGAAAACCAGGAGCTGCAGATGCTGCCAGATGGAGATGTTTGTTCTTGCCTGCTGAGGCTGCTGCAGGATCTCTGTCAGATGGACCAAACCCATTATCTCCTTGTGGCAGGAATGGATAGAGGAGCTCCAGGCAGGAGGGAAGCTGTGCCCCTACCAGTCTAGCACTGATAATGGAGACAAGAACCTGCATTTGTGTAGGGGCATGAGGAGGGTCAGTCAAACCAGGCACATTTTGCTCCTTTCCTTTCAAGCCTGAAAACCCTTTAGGCACCTGTGAGGAAGAGGGTGGCCCCTGAGGAAGGTGTAACAGGGGTCAGCAATAGCAGGCCTGGGAAAGGAGCCTTCCAGCATGCTGGACAGTGGCCCCTCCTTAGTGGCCAAATGCCCCTGTCGCTGTGCTTTCCTCCTCCCTGCCCTGGTCCCCCTTATCAGGCTGTATGAACCTGGGAGAGCTCAGAAGGGGGACTTTTTTCTGCCATTGCAAATTTGGGATAAGGCAGTCGAAATAGAATAGTGTAAACATAAGAGCTGAGTTTTTCTGAAGACTGCCATGTAGAATGGTAGGCTAGTATACCTGCTTATTCTGGACTGTATTTTTTCTCCGTCCTAATTAAACCAAAATGAATTCAGAAAAAAATACCCTGATTTATACAATTCAATGGCAGAGATGAATTTGCAGCTGCTTTAAGATGGTGGCTGTCACTTCATCTGGAATACAGCATGCAGAAGGGCTGCATATAAATAGTGCTGCACCCAGACAATGTTTTACAAAAGCAAGTGCTCCAAAATATCAATGCACGATTCCAATTTTTCACTAGGCAGCTGTCTCCAATCAGAGTGGCAATTTGTTACCTATTAGAAAAGTCATCTTGCTGCTGGCTGTCCTATAAAGAGAGCTTGTTTGGCTCTCCTTTAGAAATAGCAGCTATTGCTGGCCTCTTTTATTGATAAGGCAATATGTGGTGGTAATAGCTGTGTAGTGGTTGAAGAACAGCTCCTTGGGACATTTTTGATCCCTTGTCCTAATTGTGGCTGTAAGGAAAAGAAAGACAACAAACTGATGTCAACTGGGAATTGGTGAGAGGAAATGAAGCAACACCCATTTGAAGCCAGGTCTGAATTTGTGGTGCTAGTGTACACAAAATGCTATCAAGATGAAAGTGATGAAGAAATTCCTGCTTGTTTTCAAAATAGTCAAATAGGAAATCTTTAATTGGGAGGAATGACTAATGGGTCACCTGAGAACAGAAAAGTGTCTTATGAGAGTGTAATCTCTTATTCCTAAGCATTTCCTGGAGTTGACTTGCTAAGACTGATTTTTTTTGTGAGCAATGCCTGAATAGAAACTGATTGAATTGACATTCTTCCTTACTGTGATAATTATTTATTTTTCCTATGGATGCTACATCTGGTTCTTTTTGAGGAATATCTCAGCATCCTTTAGTCCAGCTCCTAGGAAAGCCTGAAGTGATTGATACAGGAGTGGTTAACACAAATGTGTATGAGCTCACAGAAGCGAGGAAATGGCTCTTCATGAGTACGTGCATGAAAATTTTCAAAGTCAAAAAGGCGTGACCTAAATAATTGGTAGAGAGTAGGCTTTGCATTCCTAGATTACTGTGGCATTGAAAGCACAGCAGTAGTTTTCCTCAGAGAGCAGACAACATGGTTATAGGCTACTTCCCAAGCTAGCTAGCTGTTTTTGGGAAGGGATCCTCTTTCTGAATGTGTGAAATAAGCAGGACCCTAGACTGATAAAAAATTCTGTAGTATGTTTGCAGTAAGGGCTTATTCTCAGGCTTCATTTACAGATTTCCTTCCTCAGACCAGTTATAAGTGCAAGTTCTAGACAGTGCTTGCCTCTTGCCAAAACTGAGATCTTATCTGTGCTGTTGTGGTAAGTGTGTGACTGTCAGGGCACCTGAATTTCTGCCAGAATCCCTTTGTGAGATCATCCTGAACCCCCACATGCTGAGTCAAACACGGTGAGCCTCATGGAGTCTTACAATCTGTAGTGAGCAAGAGCTGACAAAAAATGTCTTTGTCCCTGGTTTCGTGTGTGTTTTTGGTGTGTGTGGATACAGAGTTTTCTAAATGAAGTCGTTAATATATAGCTATTCTGATAATTGGTGGATTATTCTTTGTGAAGTGATGCCTTCTCACTTTTGGTTTGATAAGGACCATGCAAGCATGCAGCAGAGCAGCACTGGATCCCACTAAGGCTGCACTTTCTCAACCCACCATTGAATTGGGAGGTGTTGAAGCCAGCAGAGCCTTGCTCTGAAACATCCACCACAAATCCCAAAAGTTATTCTGTCTGGTGTCACAACCAATTCAGCTGTGTTGATGATAACAAAAATGCCCAGAGTAAAACTAGACTTTGTGTCAGAGTACGTGCTCCAATTCCTTAACTGGTTTGCAGAATCTTCTCTCCTTTTCATTAAAATGCAGGGAGAATTAAAGTTAAATTTGTTTATAAAGTATGCTTCTCTAAACACATTTACTTCTGTGGCAGAAATTTTTTTGCCTGTTTCCCAATGACAGAAAGAGAAGCTACTTTGGACGAAGCATGAAAGACTACAGACTGTCTGCAGTTTATCCCTCAGTGCTTGAAGCTGCTTTTTATTATTCATTTGTATCTTTCTAGTCCTTGGAGTCATGATCTAAGCTTTGGTGTCTATGAATTTGTCTAATTCCTTTCCAAACTGTCTGATAGTGTCTTCCTCCACAACTTCATATAAAAACAAATCCCAGAACTTTAACAAATCCCAGAACTTTAGGATCCACTGTGGGAAGAAATACTTTTTTAATCTTTTAAAAATGAATCCCGTTTTAGTTTCACCAAGTACCTCTCAGCTGTGGTGTTGCAAGGACATGAGGAAATGGAGTTCTGCAAATTTCTTGCTTGATTTGGTAAATCTTTCTCCTTTGGAACTTCTCTACAGCCTTTTCACTCTCTTCTTTTAAGGAAGCTCTTTGGAACTTCTCTACAGCCTTTTCACTCTCTTCTTTTAAGGAAGCTGCTCCAACCCTTTGAACATTATAATTACCTCCTCTGTACTTTAACCATCTCTGCTACATCCTTCTGAACTGACTTTGACCAGCACAGAAATCTCTTTGTCTTGTTCTTCACAGCATTTCTAATAATGCTCAGTCTCTTTCGGTTTTGGCCCCTTCTGCACATTGGGCTGGCATATCTGGAGAGAATAATTTGGCAAGGTGACTTCTAGATCTCCTTCCTGAGCTTTAATTCCCATTTCTGAGGTGAACACGTGTAAGTATAGCTTGGACTATTTTCTCTGAACACATTCCTCTATGATGAGTGTACTGGTTTCCAACTTTTCTGCCCACTTGTTTGTGTTTGCCTCCTAAAGTTTACCTTTAAAACCTTTGTTTATCCTCTGCATCCCTTCTTGGCTTCCTCTGATGTATTTTCAAACATTTTACTCTGTTTGAAAGCTTTTTTTGAGGCAGTCCTCCAAATTTCTTTAGTTCTCTTAATTTCCATTTTAGGTTGGTCCTCCCATCTTGTACAAACATTCATATTTACCTTCATCCAGAAAGTTTTCAATTCCCTAAATGCCAACATTTTCTGTAAGATGGCACCTGTGACATTATTTTTTGCTGAGGCTTGCTTGTGTTTTATTCTACATGCACAATTTATTTGTTTTTTATTTATTCCAACTGGAAAAATCCTTTTAAGTGTGCTCAGCAGTTATTTAATAGAGGTTGATTTTTCCTGCTGCTTTATATATTTAGTTAATATGCATTCTTGATCAGTAATTTTCAAAGTCATGTACAGATTAACTTGTTTTCTGTTGCTCAGTTTGAACTGGCATCGTGATCTTTCTGTATTTGAGTCCCATTAGTTACGCTATCATGTTTTTCTCAAGAGCTACTCTCAAAAACTAGGCTAAAAATGCTGCCCAGTGAGTTCCAGGATCTTGCTATGTTGGTTATTTAATTTATGGGATTAGTTCTAGCCTTGACCCTCTGTGGATCCAAACCAACAATTCTATTTTTCACTTTTACATTTATTAACTAGTCACTTTAATGTATTTTGTTATTCATGCATGTTATGGTGGTAGATTCATCTAGTCATTGCAGGAAAAAAAAAAAAGTATGTTTGAATAGTGGGGTTTTTTTTGTTCAAAGGCCAGATTTTTTACAGCTGACAAGCAATAAGGTTTATGCTTATTCTGTCTCTCTATCACTGAGGTCATGTATTTCAATTATGGCAAAAGTTGTTCCTCATACAGAATCCTAGAACTGTTGAAATTGCTAAGAATTTTGCAACCAGGGGGATGAAGTTTAGCCTGTTGACTTCTTAGAAATTCAGAATAATGCAGCTACCTTTCTCAGCTCACACTCTTATCTCAAATGATCATGCTTTACCCCATTTAGGGATTTTGGCCTTGTTCTCTGGTAGTAATCTCAACTGTATGTTCCTCTGTTTATTGCAAATATATATTGTTATAGTTGAGTGTATATTTCTGAAACCATGAATATCTACTACAGAATAAATGCCAGCTTCCATTTTATCTAAACTTTATAATTTTCCCATTTACATAGTTTTTATTACCTTATTCGCTCTGCCCTTTTCCCAAATGCTAACTAAAATATCTATACCTGAATTGGGGTGAGATTGCTTATTGGAAAATGTAGCAGAAAATTGTCGTTGCTCTTCGGACATTTTCCTTGTTGACAGTAGATTTTTCTGTCATCACACAGCTCTTATTTTGCCATGTCCCAGCAACTTCTGTTTTTCTACTGAGCCTTCTGAGCACACAGACAGAAAATGCAACATTCAAATACCAGTGAATAAAATTACAAGCTTTAGCAAACAATCCACCAGAGAGGCATCGGGTTATATATTTGCCTTAGCTCTACCTTCATTACTCCTGCACTTCCCTGCAACAGTAATAAAATGTGTTCACTGGGCTTTTTGTAT